CTTCTTCAGATGCAAGATTTACTTGCATCTAAAGAAGTGAGGTTCTTACCCACGAAAGCTTATGCTCCCAATACTTCTGTTAGTCTTAAAGGTGCCACAGGACCCTCTGTTGCTCATCACCATATGATATATTTATATCATCTGGCTCTTTCCCAAATACAGAACAGAAATATTTATTGAACACTTTTACCTTTTCAGTTTCTTTTTGACAGGTCAACCATGTCCAGCTAGTAATGGACCAATACCATTGTTAGGAACAAAAGGAATCCTACACTTAAGGATAATAAGATGTTTAACGCTGCTGGCCATAGGATTACTCCTTTTGCTTCCCTTACCAATTTCCCACAATTCATATTATTAATATAATTCAGAAGCTGTCAACTTGCCCTTTCTTCCATTTTGTGGGTGGGTGAGTTTTATTTGAAATAATTACTTTCACTTCCCATATATACTAGATTGGCTGGTGGTTTGGGGGTTGTTGGTTGTTTTTTTTAAACTAGTGTGGCCTTTTCTTTAGCGTGGCTCTTTAGGTATCTAGTAAAATGTTCTTAAATAGTTCCCAATTATCCATTATTTTTGGTTTAAATCCTTTGTCAACTGGTTTGGCTCATACTTATTTTCAGCTTTGTGAAACTAGCCCTTTTTAAAACACCAAATGTATATAGAGTCCAAACCAGTATTCTATATTTGCCCATAACAAGTGATCAAGTCGTGATTACTTGTACCTAAGCTTCTGCTAACTTTTAGTTCTGTGATCAGTTCCTGTTTTTAGTCCTGTGATCGTGTGCATTCTGTACTAGTTTACATTTTGAAATGGATTGAAGATGTATCCTAACCTAGAGCACACTCCCATACTCTAAATGCAAGATGACAAAAGCATGGTTAATGCAGGGTTTGCTTGTTTTTATTTAACTACTGATGTTCTCCCACTAAACACTGGTCTCTTTCATGCACTTCCCCTTCTCAGGCCTTAGTGCTTTGATACCACATTTCTTTGCCATCTTCAACTCTCTTAGAATGAAGAATCTACTTTGCAACCTCAGTAAGTGGTGAACCATCCCTTCTGCCTGCCTTGAACTAGTGTGACAGATTCGCAGGATTAACTTTTCTTTCTGATGTTAGACAAAACCCATGAGACTACAAAAGTAGAAAGCACAATGTAGATTGTACGTCTATAGACTAGTATGTATTCTATGGTCACACGTTATTTAGCACTGACAATTATTTAGAAGAGACACTACACATTTTTTTGCACATTTTTCACAAACTTACTCTATTTTATGATCTAGCTTATACTACTAGTGTTACTTGTATTTCACAACAAAGGATACTGCTTGCTATGCTTGATCCGCACCAGAGTAACACAATCACTCGGATCCAAAAAAGTTTTGGCTGCAGCGTGTAGGAAAGAATGGTCTGAACCAGTATGTAAATGGCTCCTATTCCAAACGTTAGACAGGCTCCAACTACGTGCATATAAAACAGAGTATATTTCTAGGTGGAAAGACAGATATAAATAAAATATAATATGTACATAAAATATACAGAACACAATTTAGCTTATTGCAGTGCTGATAGCTCCACTTTATAAAAGCTTTGCCTGCAGCTGCCACCACTTCTAACTGGGATCTCCTCACATCTCTCAAGTTAAGCAGTGCTGGGGCAGGGTCAGTACTTGGATGGGAGACCTTCAAAGGAAATCCACATATGGTTAGTAGCAATTCAGCAGCTGCCAACTCTCTGTCAGGACATGTTGTCATGGAGCAATTGGCTGCCGGAGGGCTAGTCTTTCAGATGAAACATAAAACTAAGGTCTTGGCCACTTGCGGTTATTAAAGTTCCTGTGATACTTTACTCAAGAGCAGAGATTTTAGTAAACTGGCCAGAACAGTAGGGCTTTTAGTTAGTTGCAATAATTAGGGCTATGTTAACAGTGAACGGACTTGAGCAAAATAGCACGAACTTCTTTTATTTTATTTTTTAAAACAATCCTTGTTTTCAGTTATCGGGGTGTATGTGGGGGGTCATCACCATGGCAGAATAAAAGCTTTTACTGAGCTTTCCTTGGCCACATACTTCTTATAATACTGTTGTCGCTAAGCATAAACCTCCTAAACAGCACATTATTTGACTTGGCAACATTCAGTGTTCTCAATTAAACTAGTTCGTCTGTCATCACTTCCCATCATTCAGACACACAAAATTCAATGTCAAGTCACAGATTCTCATCTAATAATGAAAAGATGACAATCTGACTCCTAGGATGGCTGTGTGAAATACAGCCTTAATGAGACTGGTCTGTAAAAAACTGAACAGTACTAACAAAAAGAAAGTGGAGGAATTATTGAGGAGGGTTTGAGGCAAGTAAAATGAGAATAGGCCCATCAGACAATGGAATAATATCACCATGAGAATAGTACCAGTAACCTGCACATATACAGAGTCTTCCAGCTGAGGATCAAAATATTTTTATGAAAACTGATCCTTCGTGACCTTTGTGGTAAGTATTCATATTTCCATTTTACAGATGAGTAAGCCAAGGCACAGAGTTCAAAGCCGACATTTTCAAAAAGGCCACTGATTTTTGGGTTCCCAACTTGAGACGCTCTGGGCCTGACTTTGAGCTGCTCAGCACTTGCAGCTCCATTTCAAGTCACTAGGAACTGCAGGTGCTCAGCACTTTTGTACATGATGCACAAAGTGTATCAAGCTGGACACAGAACTGTCGAGTCGCCTGTAGTCAGTAACCACTCTTGCAAACTTGGCTGCATGCTATTTGTCCAAGGAAGCCTGTAGTTTAATGACAAGAAACCATCAAGGTCTTATCACAAGATGTATTCAAAGAAAACTGGGATGCAACACTGAAACTGGATAAAGGAAGCCCTGCAATTATGCAGATGAGGGCAGGGATCAGATGGCCTATTAACCCCTTCTATCCTAAAATCAGAGGTGAAAGTAAGTCAGTATGGTCTGGTACAGCATATTGGCAAGAGCCGGTACACAGCCAACCGTACCAGCAGGGGGCAGCTTCCCCAGGCCAGCAATTTAAAAGGGCCCTGGGCGGCCCGGCAGCAGCCAGAGCCCCTGGCCCTTTAAATCACGTCCGGAGCCCTGGGGTAGCAGTGGCGATTTCAAGGACCCGGGGATTTCAAGGCCCTGCCCCTTCTTCCTGAGGCCCCGCCCTGCTCAGGACTCCAGCCCAGTGTACCAGTAAGTCCCTTAAGTTACTTTCTCCCCTGAGTAAAATCTAAGTTTATGAACACAACAGGATCACACAATACAGGCTAAAACCTAGTGGTTCTACTCTGAAAAGTGACTCTGTAAAAATGGAATCATGGGGTTCTGTGTTTGTGTCTTAATTACTTTAGATAAAATTGGCTCGGTGTATGTCTTTCCTAACTGCCAGTTCTGCAAACTCAAACAAGCTGGAGTCTCTTGTACATCACCACCAGTAATAAAGGTTCTTCAGGTCAAAGCAGGTCCTCAGTGACACCAGTGCAACCCCACTGAATGCAACAGCATTGCACTGACTGGAATTTAGTAAACAATTTTTATGTAGGAGAAATAAATTTCCCCTTACTCCCTCATAGGTATGTTCGCTCTTCAGTTCTAACAGGGGTTAAGAACAATAAAAGCTTCGCATTAAAACCAGCAGTTGGTCCTTTGAATAAGAAAGGGTCACTTTTACTTATTTTAAAAGTAGAATAGAATCACACTTTAAGTGGAATACATATTTCAAAATTTAACAGTAACAAATTGTAAAACATTCTACTATTATCAAAGAAACACAGGATTTTCCACAGAAAATCAGACTGTTGGTGCACTCAGACAAGTTTTTTGTCTTTGGTCAGTGACCAGTTCCTGATGCTCAGAAGGAAGGAAGGAAAAAAATGCACATGGCTGACTATGCATGATAGATTCCTCCTCCCCCCACAAATCATCTTATATCCTAAAACATGAGACTGGCTTCCCCTTATTTTAGCTACGTAACTACAGATGAGATTAATGGTAATGAAATCATCCAGTCCCTTACAAAATCTGGCCACGTATTTAATCAAATGCCAATAAATTCCCAAGGCTGACCTGACTCTGTAGAAATCAGAATTTAAATTGCGTGCTGCTATGCTGCTATACTGCCATCCAGTGGTCAAATATGTTTTTCTATATTGCCAATGTAGAGCTCAAGACTCGGCAGAAGCAGAGACATTTTCTTTGGGCTTGTCTGTATGGGAAAATTGAGCTGGATAGCTATAGCACAATAATTATTCAATTACTCTGCTATAGCTATGCGTGTCAATTACTCCTTGCAGACAAGCCTTTGGCCTCTCACATGCACCCATCTGGGCGGAGTTCTACGAGGCAGCAGCCACTGACATCCTCAACAGTTTCTGCATTGACCACTACCTGGGGTTCTCTGCTTGGTGTCCTCCTCCGGAACCCTTTTGCTCACCCTTCGATCTTACTCCACTTTCTGCCCCCCCTTGATTTATCCTCCATAATTAGTGGAATATAATTTCTTTTTTGGCTCCTTTTTTCTGTGGGATCCTCCTTGTTAGCATTGAGAGTCAAATATGCTAATAAGCATAGCTGCCAAGTTCTGGTTTGTACCATGTGCCATTTTATGTATAGTATTTAATTAACTAACTTGCATATAAACCCTAAATTTAGGCCTAGTCAAACAAACCATCCCTTGATCATTGGTGGGGTTAGGACATGGAGCTGAATAAAACTTGGCATCTCTAGCCAGAGTAGGTGAGTGGCCACAGGGAGGGAGGAGTAGCTAGATGGGTGCCTGCTGGGAGGTCAAGAAGTGCTGCGCCCGTGGAAGGATAGGAAGTGTTAAAGCTCCTGAGGGCAGCTGGGGACCGTGGGTGCTGGGGCTCCCAGTGGGCAGGGGCAATGTGCTATAGAGCATGTGGTACAAGTGGATTTGGGAGAAGAGAGTAGGCTGGAGTCTGAGGCCAGTAACAAGCTCCTCACCTTGTGTTTCTGCTCCCAGCACATGCTCTAGCCACTTCCTGGCTTCTCACTTCTGGCCCTAATCCAACAGGGGAAGGAGGCACCTGGATCCTTGTTCAGCAGGCTCCCCAGCAGCCAAAAGGCTGCATAACTACAGATTAAATGCCAGCATCCTTTTGGCAGATCAGCTGGATGGATGAGACTCCAACTGAGATGTGGATATGCACGACATGGCTACCAAATGCATGACTGGTGACACCTGGAAGCCCTGCATATGGCGTTTCTTGCTTGTGGTGTGAATATTTAAAAGGTTATCAATTTTGAGAGAGGGAAAACTCTGAAAAGGAAGATAATATTGTAGAGAAAAATAGACATTTGAGAGACAGGAGAAGGACAGAGGTTACTAGTGCTTGTAATTCTTCCAAAAATGTCTGTCTGTTTTGAAAGAAAACACACAAAGGACCTGCTTTTCAGAGGTGGTGAGCACCCCCAGCTATAACTTAAGTCAGTGGGGGCTCAGCACCTCTGAAATCTGGTCCAAAATACTGAATTGTCCTTCCAGTATAACATCCAGAAAACTGCAGACAGAACACAAACCTGGAAGTTGGCAATAATGCAAAGTCCAAAGCAGCTTATTATTCCAAGCGTAAAGCCAGCCTTATTTAATCTGGCGATCTTGGGTTCTCCTGGACTCAGAGCATAAACTTGTTTATAGCGAACATACACAGTAGCAATACCTGTGAACAAACAATCCAAATGCAGTGAGGCTTGAGTAAACAAGGAGACTATTCTTGTCAACTGTAAGGTGATAAGAGACAGAGGTCATTGTTATTTAAAAGGCAAAAACTACATTAAGGTCTGGTCTACACTAATGACCGAAGTCAATCTAAGTTACGCGAGTTAAGTTACGTAAGTCATGTAACGTAAGTCGACGTAGCTTAGATCGACTTACAGCGGTGTCTACACTGCGCTATGTTGATGGGAGACACTCTCCTGTCGACACAGCTTCCGCCTCTTGAGGAGGTGGAGTACTGAAGTCAACAGGAGAGCACTCTGCCATCAACTTATCCTGTCTTCACCAGACCCAGTAAATCACAGCTGCTGCATCAATCGCAGCAGTGCCAATTTAGCCACTAGTGAAGACAAGTCCTAAGAGAGCAAAGTGAGGAACTCAAGTCAGGAAATAAAGTGAAGTGACAGAAATGCAATTACCTTCTGATCAAGGCATGTAGTGTTTATGATCCCAGATAAGATTAAACTGATTTTTAAAGACACATGAGATTCCACTTCCCCGATGATGTCACTACTAGTTAAGGTTACTGACTTGTCCTAAATGTGCATTTTCATACCTTAACTTGTCTTGATTTCTTTTAAGCTTAACCTTAACTATGAGTTTCCTGCACTAATAAATGCTTGGTTTGGGGATAATTACAACAATCCTATAATGCATTTCACCCTAAATAACTGATCTGTACTCTCAGCCTCACTCTCTTAATGTAGCTTTTGTCTGGGAATTATGGGTAATTTAGTAATAATGAAACTAAGTAACTTAGTGTTCCTGTTTAATAATTTGTATTCCAGAAGTGTTTACAATGTGCTAGAGGTCATTTTATCTACTTACCTAAGAAAGTGGAAATATTTAACATAATCCCAAATAAGCATCTTTCAGGAGGTATTGTCCCTGTGTCACTGTAAGAAAAACAGTATATAAAACATGGTTCTCCATCATGTACTGTAAATTTCCACCAGAGAAATGCATCTTTATAAGAGGAGGGAAGGAAAGGAGAAACAGGGTCATGAAGCATTCAAAGCAGTTTCACCTATTTTGTTGTACACTACTTAAGCAATTTACTGTGCTAGTTTCTAGGGATGCAGAAGCCAACATGACTGCCTTTTTGTTATGGGCACAATGGTTTTTAGAACAGGAACAATATGTACAATCCAACATAGCTATCCTGTTTGTTTATGTTAATTCTCCATAAAAAGTTAAAAGACAGTTAAGGCTGTAAAATGAAGCACTCTAAAGTCTGGAAAGGCCAAAGTTAAGGTTCCAACAGGACATATAGACAGGGGCAGCTCCAGGCACCAGCGTGGTGCGACCTGCCAGTTGCTGTGAGGGCGGCAGGCAGGCAGCTTTCGGTGGCATGCCTGCGGAAGGTCCGCCGGTGCCACGCCTTCGGCGGCAATTCGGCGGCGAGGACGCCGAAGGCACGGCACCGGCAGACCTCCCGCAGGCATGCCGCCGAATCCGTGTGACCAGCGGACCGTGCACAGACTCACCGCTGAAAGCCGCTTGCCTGCTGTGCTTGGGGCGGCAAAAAACATAGAGCTGCCCCTGCATATAGATTACAATACAGGTTTTAATTACATGATCACGCATTTTCAAAGGACACTTGCATCATTTAATGTGCAGGCTGGACTGTATACTGTGAATGTGGGAGCTGTTTATTATTTTTTATCTTTAACTGTTCACCATGTGGTCCCATATGTTATTCACTGCACACAATCAAACATCTGCCTGATTCACTATAAACAAGGCAGACTTGCAGAGTTAAATTTTTACACCTGTAAATGAGGGTCAAGATGTTCAAAAGTGACTAATCGGTTGGGAGCCTCAATTTTTGGGTACCCAACTTGAAATATTTTAACGGGGCCTGACTTTCTAAAGTGGGTGCTCAGCACTTTCTGAAAAAAGGACCCCTTTAAAGTGTCTCAAATTCGGCTCTCAAAATCTCTGGAAAATCTTGCCTGATATTTCTGTATCTCCATTACACCACGGTGGAACTCTGAGTAAATCTATCAGGAGATCAAAAAGGCAGCAGCACTAATCATAACAAAGGCAAAGATTGGGTATCAAGGCTCCAGGCAGGCTGGTCTCGCAAACTCTAAGGGTGCAGCTGCCATACCCACATAAGTAAGAAGTAATGTTAGAAAGGAGAGTTTTAAAGAGATTAAACAATTAGTGAAAAGTTCTTGCTGCTAATTTAACTTGTAAAGACCCAGTGCAAAGGCCAGCATGAGGCCTTAGACCTGTTTAGGAATTAAGGACCAAAGTAGGAATTAAGTGGCACATAGGCTTGGGGCTGGCTTTCCGCATGGGGTGAATGTCATCTTATGTGACTAACAACGTTTTAATACTCTTAACAGCAGCTAAAAATTGTGTGTGTGAGGATTTAAAACAAACAAACAAAAAAACAGAATCAGAAGGTAACACTGAAATCCTGGCCTAAGTGAGAGTAAACCACATGATACAGAAGGGCAATAAACTAAAGAATATGAGAGATTAGATATAAATATACATTCTGGAATTCATGGAAAGCTAATTCTCCCTAGGTTTCATGCTGGAAAGATAGATTTTTTATTTTTTTTGTAATTTGCACAAAGCATGATACCTTTTTTGATAAGGGCAGTTACAACTCATCTCTAGCAGCTCAATAGTCAATGGATCAATTTGTGAAGGCTGCCAGTCCTTCCACCAAATGGAGGAGAAATTAGAGAGGGAAGATGATGGTAGGTCCAGCCACCTGAAGGAGGACAGCAGCAGAGGCACATGCAGACCCTTAGTACTTCCAGAGAGATGTTAAATTCTGTGACTGTGGTTGGTTAGCAGAACTAAGAATTACCCATGGCTGTCTATAACACTGCATTAGCAACTGATTTTAGTTTAAAAAACATGTTAAAACCAAAGAGGAAAATGTCCAGGTTTCAAATGAAAAAGCCATATTGTCATAGAACACAGGTTTCCAATCTCAAGATTGCATATGTAACCACCCTGCCCTTACCATACGGCTAGAAAGGAGGGTGTGTCTGGATGAATCCAAGTACAGAAAAGGCTGAGAATTGGCCTCATAGAACAAGAACTCTGGATTCAGATACTTATTCTATGGCTCTATGCCTCCAGTTATCCAACATCTCTAGTGATCACTAAAACACCCTATGATATCGTAATGACATTAACACAGGCCATGAAAACCTTAAAATGTAAATGTTTGTGTTTGTCCAAAAAATTAAACTAAATTAAATTAACAAGACATGTATTGATGTTTGTTTTTTAAAAAAATATCATCTTAGTTTAATGTTAGAACTGCTAATCCCAAAACTATACATTTTAAACTACAATTTTTAAAATTTTAGGGGAAACATTTGCATATAAAGGAAAGGCCAGTTCTGGCATGAATACTGTGGTATAGTTAACAGTGCAACAGTTAGAGTTTTACTGACCTGATGTATGGCACCAAAGGGTCAATATGACGTAGAAGGACTGCGGTAATGTATGAAAATATGAAAGAAGCGGCTGACCAAACAACCAAAGCCGAAGGCAAGAAACAGAGGCCTTGCTGAAACCACCACATTGCAGCACTGTTTCACAAGTCCAAATGGTGTGAAGAATCAAATATGCAAAAGATCTTTGGTTTTGTCTCAGTGGTTTTCTCTTCTTGAAGCCAAAGAGTGAATTGTGTTAACATGCAGTCTCCATGCGCCTCCTGTTATAAACAGCCATAGTAAGAGAAGACAAATTGGATTTAGTATCACTGTCATTGAAAGCACAACAGGAGGCTTTCAGGAAGTCACTGCTCTCTCAACACAGAAGTAACTTTAATGTGAAAAGCAGAAATTTCTTTTGGAAACTTTCATACTGCAACTCACAGAAGAAAACTGGAGAAGAAACTCACGGATGTCATTTTACTGCCTTAACATTTATCTGCTTCCACAGCTGTGTCAGGAGAGCCACTGTGTTGTGATTCTTTCTCTTCGACTCTATTTGTGCATAAAACCTCTTCAAGGTTAAGCCCCAGGGATCAGAGAGGATAGTGAGTGCAGTGAGTACAGATATGCCTCAGTGACAGTTTTACCAAAGAAAGGAAATTGAAGGTTCTACAACTGCTATTAACAACAAACTGGGCATATTTACAAAGTGACCTGACAACACAGAAATATTAGTAACTCTTGCACCTATCGAGCAGCTTCCATCTGAGGCTCTCAAGACACTGTACCACCTCACATTTAAGTCAATAAATATGTGCATAGATTTATTTTGGCAAGAGCTGGCTGCTGCCATCCAGGACCTCCAGAGACAACCACCACCTAATCCAGCTGCAGAGAAAGTTCCACTTACACACCTAGTTAGTGAAGTGCATCATGCTGTGTTTATACACCTATCCAGTTTTGAAAATCCGAGCCTCAGAGCAAGATTACCCTTCATACAGAGCTAGATGTACAGGCACAATGTGTAGCTGTGTCACCCCCACAAGAGCACAGGGAAGGAATTGTAATTCCTCCCTTACTGCTGGGGGGGGAGAAATAGTTTGTTACCGGCTCCAAGCAGGAAGCTAAAAATAGAGCCCAGTTCTACAAAATCATGGTCTTGTGCTTTAACCACAAGGCCAGCCTTACATTTGAGAAACAAAGGTCACAGAAACTGGTTAAGCCTAGTAGATGTAAGGGTCCAAAGAGATGAAAGATTGGAGACTGTAAACAGAGCAAGGGACAGAGCAAAGAAGACAAGGAGAAGTGAGCAATGAGGAGAGAGTGGTGATCAGAGAGAGTCAAAGACAGAACCCTCAGAAAAGAGCAGAGCCAGATGATGAATAAGGCAGTGCGGAGTTAGTTCAGAGCTGGATAGAAAATACAACATTGAAACTAACCAGAATGAGGGTGGTCAGCTGCAGTGACAGGAATAGAGAGCCAGACATCAAAGTACAGGAAGAGAGACTGAGGGAGCCAGACGGGAGGGAGAGACTAGATAGAAAGGAACAGGTGGTATGGGAGGAGAGAATCTGAAAGTGAAGAGAAGGCTCCTCCTCTTCAGCCAGTGGATGCGGAAATGGGAGAAGGAGAAACTAGATTCCAAGAAGAGAGCAGAAGCCAAATCAAAGAGGGAGAGATGGGTCTCAGAGTGAGGAAGTGGGAGATAAAGTGTGAGTTACCTGAGTCATCCCTGAGTTACCTCTGAGCCTGCTTGAGTGTAATGAGTCATCAGTTACCTACAGGGTTCAGCCAATCCACAGGCGAGATCCCGCCAGGTGATCCCAAGGCAGGTACATAGGCTCCTGGGAAGCAGCCTCTCTAGTCTGCTCAATGTCACTGCTTGGCTGGGAACACTGCCCTTACTGCTGCTCCTGCTCTAGCGTGTACCTGTGGCTGTTTTCCACCTAGCCCGCCCCGGTTCCAGCCTGCATCTGCTCCTATCTCAGCTGTGAACTCTGACAGAGATAATAGACTGACAGGCAGTGGAGTAGTAGGAGGAAGGAGAATGGGGATGGCAGGTGAAGAGTCCAAAGGGCAAGCATAAAGGCAGGAAACAGAGCAGGAATAGGAGAGGAAGGATATGAAGAGAAGAAAAGATATGGTCCAGAGCTGACAACCTCCTCCATGTCCCAGAGGGTTGGAGAATTTATTCTATCCAGGTTACCCTTCTGTTATGAACTGATCCAACCCCTATAAGACAGGCCAGACATACATCTTCATCTTACCCACTCTTTGCATATTGCCCTGAAACCCCAGTGTATCCCATGTCCGTCAGTGGTGTCTTTATTCTGCCCTTTCCCCACGGAGGGGTGTAGGATTTGTGTGGAGGCCAGCTTGACAGCACATGGCTGCCAGGTATCCCTCCCTCAACTGCTTCCCTGAGGTTGGTCACTAATTTAAGTACTCTTGGTCCTCTGCCCACTCAGTCTGGGTCTTACATGCTATACCAGCACCAATCCTCTGTCCACCACTTGCTGATAAATTTGGGGACCCCTTCAAGTATGGGGTGTAGAGTCTAAACATAATAGTCGGTTGCCATTAATCAGGCTCTGGAACCCTCTTGATGTGTGACAGAAACCTACTTTGTACTTGATAAAACCTGAAGAAGGGGTGTGGGTTACATCATACAACAAAAAGGCAGATGTATTTTGCTACGATGCATGTTAGTCTCTAGCATGGAGATGGAAGGTGGATGGGGATACAGAGGCAGAATGAAGGTTTGGTGGGAATCTGAAGTGCACATGTACTAACTTTCTGCCCCTTAATATATCATTTTCAAGCTATTAATAAAATAACACTAGCACTTTCGTGAACTTCCATTATAGGACTGCTGTCGAAAGTCTTAAAAGAGCAACACTCCAATCCAGAAATTACAGAACCTGAACTACCAAAAACGAAAATCAACCTTCTGTTGGTGGCATCTGCCTCAGATGATGAAAATGAACGTGAGTCAGTCCGCGCCGCTTTGGATCATTATCGAGCAGAACCTGTCATCAGCATGGAAACATGTCCTCTGGACAGTTAGGTTAGGTTAAAAAACCTATAAAAAAACAAAAACAGTAAAAACAATTCAACATTTGTAAGTTCAACTTTCATGATTAAGAGATTGCACTACAGTACTTGTATGGGGTAAACTGAAAAATACTATTTCTTTTGTCTTTTTTACAGTGCGAATATTTGTACTAAAAAATAACATAAAGTGAGCTTTACCTTGTATTCTGATTTGTAATTGAAATCAATATATTTGAAAATGTAGAAAACATCCAAAAATATTTAAATAAATGATATTCTATTATTAACAGTGCGATTAAAACTGTGATGAATTGTGGTTTTTTTTTTAATCTCGCAATTAATTTTTTTAATCGTTTGACAGCCCTAATTGGAAGTGTTAGCAGACCCCATAAAGAAAAGTGTTAATATAACAAGATGTCAGATAAGTGTTTTAGGCTTATAGATTTTAAGGTCAGAAGGGGCCATTAATCATCTAGTCTGACCCCCTGCATCACACAAGCTATAGAATTTCACCAGTAATTCAATGCTGCCAACTGTTCTGATTTTATTGAGGATTTTCTTAAAGCTGCTCCCGCAAAAGTCATGTGAATACACTAGAATCTCAGCTTTCATTTTTTAAAATTAAAGTAATTGTCTGCCTTTGTGGGAAAAACCTTGAAAACAAGAGCTTTAAAGACTCAAATACCAAAAATAAGAAGAACCCAAGATCCACTACTTTAAAAAGTCTTTGGCTTAAAAGTCACAACTCAACATGTTTAAGTGTTGTACTTGCTTGGTTAGAAATATAGTGATAACTTTCAAATCAGTGGCAAATAAGCATAAAGTCTACACACGTTCTTATGAGAAATTAAAGAAAGTCATAAGTAAAATTTGAGCTTTATTAAGATAGTTTGCGCATACCAAAAATACTAATGTACACATCCACATAAAAGATAAGGCAGAAATAAGACTATACAACTCTGTCTGAGAAATAGCTTGTGAGATACAATACTGAACAAGAGTTCAGTATTGTAACTGTCTCCAAAGGAAAAGAATCCTGTTAAATGTCAGGTACTTCAATTTAGTTACCAACTTTAGCGAGCAGAGAATTTGTCATAAAGTTAGTTATCATATACTGGACTATTACGGCAACTAAATTAGTAGAAGTATACAAAAAATGACAAACATACAAAATTATGTAAATCTAGCTAAAGATATAGAAAAGATATGACATATTGTAGTATTTGAGAAACACGATGATGTAATCAACTATATCACAGTGCAATGCTCACAAAGAGGCACTGAACATACAGCCTTAACTTTGGAATTTCCTGCCTTTGAGTGCTTAACTGTGCAACATCAGTTTGACTAATGTATTTATTTAATCTATACATAAGGTCACTATAATATTAAGATGTAGCACAAGGTCAGACTTTCTGAAGAATAGTAAGGATGTACATGAAAGAATACAAGTGACAGTCCATATAATTGTGCTTTTGTGAACATCCAATGCCAGGATTTTTTGTACAAAATTAATTCACACTAGCAACTTCTTGTGCTTAGAAAAGCCTTCTATATTTTGTCCACCAAGCACCCATTCTCAACTCTTTCAAATTTCTCTTTAAAACTCACTTCTAAGAATTCTTCTACTCTCCTCATAGCCAATCTCTTCATACTCCCTCACCCAGACAGCTGCCCTGTGTCCTGCCTTTTTTTTTTTTTTAAATTGTCTAATTAAGGACTGTGCAGTTGGAGCTATGTGGGCAGATGCCTGTGTATAGGTAGGCCTTGCACAGTGTAAGCAGAGAAAGGAGTGTGTCTTCACTTTATCTGTAAAGTGTGCTGTACATTTATGGTATTGTATAAATGATTAACAATTTACTCTATGAAGATGTCCTATGGCCTTCTATGTAAAGAATTATGTAAACAAATACTTTAACTCCCTTGCTACATCATAAAAATCCTCCTTTGCCAACTGGTCTAGATAGTCACAAATGTAGGTGTCTTTTTTCCTGATGTATTTAAGTATTTTTAAATAGTTATCTCAATCTCTGGCTCTTTATATCCATTTTCTTAAGGAGTTTTTTTTTAGCCTTCTGTTGGATAGAATATTAAAGCACTTAATTGCCTATAATTACACTTGATAAATAATGCAAGAGGGAGAGAGAAATGATCAGGACTAGGCAAGGGCTAGTAAGGATGATTTTAAATGAAATCTGAAAAAAAGACAGAACTGGAGAGGAGAGAACTCCCACAGCTGCCGGGGTAAAACTGTGGAGTGAAGGGGGCAGAAATGAGGTGGGGGGAAATCAATAGGCTGGAGCAAGTCAATGAAGAGCTTAAAAACCTGAAAATTCCTTTGAAGATAGGTATGATGTGGTTTTGTTTCTTTGAATGTGTGCGGTGTGCAGGAACATTCTGCACATGATTAAGTAGAGAGATCTAGGACTTTATGAGGCTATGGAAAAGGGATTTTGTAATAATAAAGATGAGAGGCTGTCAAGGCATGGATGAGTTAGAGTTAAAATGGTTGCTAAGATGGCCTGTATTGCAGAGTAAGCAGAAATCCCAACAGCAGCTGTGAAAGAAGGAAAATTCTGAGGTAAGGATGATGTCCAGGAATACAGGAGTTAAATGAAAGATACAGTGTGACCCTCTCAGGAAGGGATAGGAGATGAACGAGAATGAACTGTATCTGAGATTATTTCCATCCCTGAGACATTGTGTTGAAGCAAGCAGGCGCACAGGTGCACATTACTTTGTCAAGACAAGCCCAAAGAACGGATAGGGAGGAGTCATTAAATGTGTCAAAAGGGTTCATCTGAATATTGTATTGTCTCAGGGTAAAAGCTAAAGGTAAAGCTAAGGTGACTAAAAAGGAGGAGGCGGGTTGGAAAGCCCAGATAAACAAGGAGTAATAGACACCACAAAGTAAGACTATTGGTGCACAGAAAGAACCCCCTGGCAGTTAGTCTTATCTGAGCCAGGCTGAAGTGAAGATTTTAAAAGGTGGCTGGGCAGTGGTGGAGCTTTAGAAAGGAGATCCCAAAGGAAAAAGCATCAGTTAAGTAAGCAGGAAGGGTGAGGAGAGATGGAAGGGGTTGGATAACATCAGGACGGAGGGAATCAGTGGGGAAGGGTAACAGGAGGCATGAAAAGAGTCAGTGGACAGGGCAGGAAGAGGGGGTGGGGAGCTGGATCAGGACAATGGGAGGTGTAGGGATGAGATAGTACTGCAGGTCAGTGGTAAGAGGGGGTGGGGGGCTGGAGACATGGCAGTGGGAGGTGTGAGGGGAAGAGACAGGAGGAGGTGGGGCAGGAGTCAGTGGAGGATGCATGGCCAGGCCAGGGAGGCTGTATGTCCGGCGAGAGAGGGCGGGCAGTGGGGGGTGGGGTGAAGGGGGCAATTAGTGGGGTGGGGCACAGGGGCGGTGAGATGACAGGTACAGAGCGATGGGGTGAGGGGGGCAAGGCAGTAGGGGAATCAGTGTTGGGGGTGAGTGGGGGGGTAGGATCAGGGCAGTGTAGGGGGATAGGAGAGGGGGGCAGGGGAGTGAGCGGGGCAGAGTGGACTCAGACCCGGCTCTAGGGTGGCCAGATGTCCCGATTTTATAGGGACAGTCCCGATTTTGGGGGCTTTTTCTTATATGGGCTCCTATTACCCCCGCCCCCGTTCGGATTTTTCACACTTGCCCTCTGGTCTCCCTGCCCGGCTCGGTGGCTGACAAACCTGGGGGGAGCGCGCGCACTCTCTCTGCCCCGGACCCCCCCGCGGGTGCCTTACCTCGGGCTCTCCTGGCTCATCCCCATGGCCTCTCCGCACCAGGCAGCGCGCGCACGGCAGGGACAAGGGTGAGTGAGCCCGGGGCCCGCGCGCGCCACACGCCCAGCCCCGCGCGCTCCCGAGCTGGGCTCCCACACCCACCTCTCAGCTCGCGCTCCCGAGCCCCCTCCCCCCCCCCGTCCCCGGCTCATTTACGGCAGCCGCAAAAGGGACGTAAAAGTGCCGCCCGTGGTTGTGCGGAGGGAGGCTGAGGTAAATGCCGGGTCCTCCGACGGAGCCTGAGGGGCCAAGCCGCGAACTCCGCGGGGCCTCGGCCTCCGTGTGACCGGCTCTTCCGGGGAGGCGGCGGCGGCGGCGCCGTCGCCGCGTCTCTCTCCCTCCGTCTCTGGGTGTTTGGCCCCGGGCTCCCTGGTGTGTGCGGGGTCCTGGCTCTAGCCCCGAGGGGTCCCTGCCTTCCGGGCGGGCGGCCTGAGAGTGCCGCGGCGGGGGAGAGAGCCGGGGGGCCGTGTTGGGAGTGGGGTAGGGGTGTTTCCGTCTGGTCGTGTAGCTTCCGGCGGAGCGAGTTCTGGAGCTTCCCTGTGTGCGGGGCGATTTGCTGTCCCGACTCATCCCCCCCTCTCCCGCTGAGCGGGGCCAGGGCTTGGGCTTCCCTAAAACATCGCTGGGACCAGCAGCCACTGGCAGGAAACCTTGCAAAATTCCCTCCGGTTTCTCAGAAAATCGGTGTCCTGGAAAGTAAATGTAGCTGAAAGTCCTGCAAGCTCTATGGGTTACTCAGCGACCTAGGGGTTTGTGGTAGCTTAGAAAAGTCAGTTGTATTTAAATGTCGTCTTATATAATTCTTCTGTTTCTCTTCTTCCCCTCCCCCCCCCCCAAAATGCAACCTTCTTTCTTCTGGAGTCCTAGGTATTTGATATTCTAGTCAACAATTTGCATTCCTGCAAATTGTCTCTCCAAATGTAATCCATTAATACACTCGCTGGAGGTTTCTCCTAGAATAAGCAGCAGTGAACTAATGAACAGTGTTGATGCTTATGTGAGCTTTAGGCTGTAGAGTTAACACAGGTAGGTGCCCTCAGAAGAGACCATTCTGCTTCAAATTGCATTCCAGTTTCTACTGCAACTGGAAAAGCTGGAACCATATTGGAGGCTTAAATTAAATATTGGAAGTGTACAGTGATTTATGGAAAACTTAATTCTATCCATTCCGTGTAGTTATACTCCCCTCCTCCTACCTGAATTCGTTTAATTCTGTGACTTGACACCATGCCCTCCTCACAGGAGGAGAGCTGAGTGTACAACATAGTGTTTGGGTAGGGTTTTATTTTGTTTTTAAATGTACATGCTACACTCTATATTAGGCAATTTTGAAGAAGTGGGACTTGCACTTGGATTGGAAGATAGTTAGGTTTGTGATGGTCTTTGGTTTCTGATGCAGATCAGTCGTGTATATTTCTACTGGCGCTAGAAACAAGGCCAAGGGCAGCAGTATATTTGCTAAGAGAGGCAACAAGGAGTGAAAGCTAGTGCTACTTGTGGCTATAATCTTTTTATGTGCTCATATGTTCATAAGTAGCTGAACTGAGATGACACTTCCATTCCCCCTCAAAAATTCCTCTCTGCAAATGCCTCTGAACACTGTCTTAGGACACATTTGGTTTGCAACTGGCCTGGGCTGTCAAATGTCAGACTTATAATTGCGTTACGCTTAGAGGTTGAATGCTACTAAGTTATGCACATTTTCTTTCTCTTAAATATGTCTGAATTCCTTTATGTTCCAGGTAGATCAGAATCTTAAGACTTCACAACTATAACCTGCCAAATAAAAATTCCAAGGCTAACCAATCCATGAGTGGGCATCGATCCTCAAGGAAGCGATGTGGAGAGTCCCGCTTAGAATCCCCTATGGATTGTGGTCATGTTCCTGCTACAGTGTGTGTGTTACGCAAGTTGGTTCAGTTGCCAACACCGCCATTGTCAAAACACCAGCTAAAGCGGTTAGAAGAACACAAATATCAGAGTGCTGGACAGTCCTTGCTTGAGCCACTAATGCAAGGTTACTGGGAATGGCTAGTTGGAAGAATTCCAGCCTGGATTGCCCCAAATCTGATCACCATTATTGGACTGTTAATAAACATATGTACAACAGTAATATTAGTGTATTATTGTCCAACAGCTGCGGAGCAGGTAAGAGATGGGCTTTTAACTATGACACACTTCATATTTAATGTGAGTAGCATGGAGCCAACATTATTGTGGCTGTGTTCTTGTGTTTGGGGTTGTGTTGCACTGAGTGATCCACCATTGTTATTTTGAGCTGTTCTGTGGACACACATGCTTTGTGTGGGGTTTATTTTTTTTTCTTCTTTTCTTAGAGGTCTTCCTACTTTCATTTCCTACACACATGCTTATAAGTGGATTTCCATGTTGGCACTTCATGAAGAAAACAGTTGTGTTCTGCTGTTCACTAGTTACACTGGGGCAAGTGGAAGTGATGTCAAGGGCCAACATGCACTAATGTTGTGTTTGTCTGGCCCTGCCCAAACACTATGTGAAACATTCAGTCAAGGAATATGTAATATCACAATAGAATAGGAAGGGAGCTCAATCTGTTCTAGTAGCAATTGTGCAGGGGCTGCTGCAGGCAGAGAGGAATTGGTTTGCATCCTCACAAAAAGCTGCTGAGTTCCTATGGAAGCCTTAAGAAAAGGAAGCTGGAGCTATCCTGTCCTGGCTTTGCATGTATAGTTACCACCTGTTTGTTTTGTGTGTGTGTTTTTTTACTACTTGTGGTTGGACTGTGGTCACCTGAAGCTCGGTGTAGACTAGAGTTTCTTGTTGTTGTGTTGTAATTCAAACTGAGTTGATAGGTAGGTCTGATGCTTCTTGGTGCACGCAGGGCTGTGAGTCACCTCATTACTACCTGCCTCCAGCATGAGGAAGTCTTGCCTGTGCTAGCTGGGTGATAGCTCCCTAACATAACGAGCCTGTCAGCCACTCAAGCACTCTCCCATGGGCTACACCATCCTTGGCTTTGCCTTGCAGATTGACAATAGATGCACTGCAGCCCCTGACTCCCTTTGAAGTGTTACCATGTGGTATCCAGCCTTGATCACCCAGTATACCACAGTTTTTTTTAAACCATAGACTATGGCTCCTGTATTATGTGTAGGGGGGGGGATAGCTCAATGGTTTGAGCATTGGCCTGCTAAACCTAGGGTTGTGAGTTCAATCCTTGAGGGGGCTGCTTAGGGATCTGGGACAAAAATCAGTACTTGGTCCTGCTAGTGAAGGCAGGGGGCTGGACTCAATGAGCTTTTAGGGTCCCTTCCAGTTCTGAGATATACACTTGAGTTCAATTATAAAATAAAAATTTATTAAAGAATAGATTCAATTAAAAACAACAAGCCAGTGTGAGAGATGGGAACAAGGGTGGTTTTATAGGTCATCAGAACATGCATTCTGGAGCCTAAACTTAACTAACAAGTTATGCTTATATCTTAAGCTTACCTCAAAGTTCTTTCCAGCATTTTCAGCCACGCGTGCCTGACCATCCTTTTTTCATTAAGCAAACTTTGCAGTCAGTTTACTTCCTCAGTGAGGGATGCCATGGTGTCTTTCTGCATACCCATGTATACCAGAACAGGCCTTTTAATATCCACCTGAAAATAGGTTGGTTTGAAAAACACAAAAAACCCACCATTATAAATGCTGGAGGCAAAGTGGGGTTTGGGGTGGAGGCTGACAGCTTGCGACCTCCCATGTAATAACCTTGTGACCCCCCCCTCACCCCTGAGGGGTCCCAACCCCCAGTTTGAGAACCCCTGGTCTAAGAAGACAAATGCTTAAAGTTCTGGCATCTGCCTGCATCCCTTCTTGCTATTGTCACCAGTGGAGGCATACTCTTTGGAAATAAGTCTAGTGTGTTTGTGTTAAGGTAGTGAATGCTGCTTTAACTTTGTTCCCCTTATGTATTTCAGCGGTCTAGTTACATGATCACATACTCCTCAAATAATACAACACATTATAAAACTTATTCTACACTATTAACTGCAATCTGTTGTAGTACAATATAATACTTACTCCTGGGGGAATTCTGCACCACAGCATGTGCAGAATTCATGTCCCCCACAGATTTCTCTGCTTCCCTGCAGAAAAATGACTTTGATAGGGATGCAAAGGGAAGCTGCAAGAGCAGTCCTACACTACTCCCCAGCAGTGCAGGTACATCATTTCAGGCGTCAGGAGCAGCTGGTGGAGAGGTAAATCACTGCAGGGCTGGGGACACTCCAGTCAGTGGCTCCTATCTTGAGCCAGGGTCAGCTGCTAGTCTGGCTGGGCTGGAGGCAGGAGAGGATGGGACTTTCTCAGCCTTAGCCATTCCTTGCAGGAGAAATGTTAGACCCACCAACCAACCTCCCCCAGCTGCAGGGAGCTCAGCATCTTCCCCTGCTTCCTGCCCCCATCGCTTCTCGGGTGGGGGGAAGGGGCACCGTGTGGGGAGCTGCTCCCCCATGCATCTGGACCTCCCATACCCAGACACCCCTGCCAAGCCTCCATCTGGTACATCCAGAACCCCCCTTGCCCTCCATATCTGAACCTCAGCCCCTGCATCTGGAGCCCCCCTGCCTCTGGACCCTCACCCCTGCACCCAGACCACCCCCAACTGAGCTCCCTGCACTTAGACCATCCACCCTAATGCCCCACCCTAATGCCCCACCCCCTGAGCCCACACATCCAGACCCCCCATGCCACTGACACCCCCTCCCATGAGCTGCACCCATACCCCACCCGATGAGACTCCCCCTCAGCACCCAGACCCCCTCTGCTGAGCCCCAACCACCTTCACCTGGAAGCCTCTGCAGAGTCCCATTGCTGCTGCACCGGGGACCCCCCTCCCATGAGCCCCTGTGCATTCAGATCCCCCCCACATCTAGGACCCCCCCCCCTCACTGAGCTGCCTGCACCCAGACTGTTCCACACAGAATCTTCTCACCCCACATCTGGACTTTCCCCTCTACACTTGGATCCTGCCTGGTTGAGCCTGTGGCACAAAGGGGCAGGGCTCAAGAGTGTTTCTGGGGCAGGCCCAGGCCTTGTGCTGTGTCAGGGTCAGGTGCAGCCTCATGGCTGAGTCCGTGTCCTGGGGCGGGGGGATCTTCCACCTTTGTGCAGCCACTGGCCTATGCACCCCACTGCCATGCTGGTGCTTCTGCATTTATTTATTGACAAAACTTGCACAGTTTTAAAACATTGTGTGCAGAATTTTTAATTTTTTGGTGCAGAATGCCCTCAGGAGTAGACAGTGTACTGTGTATAACAAAGGTCATGAAAGAGACAAGGTGGGTGGGGTAATATCTGTCATTGGACCAACTTCTGTTGGACGGAGAGCGAGAGAAGCTTTTGAGCTACACAGAGTTCTTCCTTAGGTCCGGGAAAGGTATTCAGGGTGTCAGATCTTGTTTTTTAGCTCTGACAGTTTTTAGCATAAGTAGTTAGCATGTATTCTAAGGGACAATTCAGGGTGAAGTTAATGAAAGTCACTTGTATGAAAATACACACTAAAACATGCTTAGACAACATATGTAATACTGAATAATGATAGTGAAAAGTACAAGCTGGCAGAGAGGGGTTTACAATTAAAATAACTTTCAATACCTCTGTCCTAAGTGTATCTTGGTAATTTTTACTGTAAATACCTTAATGCTAATTATTTTAACTGGATATAGAAAAACACACATGGATCTATTTAGGAAAAATCTCAATTTTTAGTTTGTACTTTTCCATTTAGAAATAATGTTAGGTGTTTAAAAAAAGTACATTCTTATGTGAAATTCAAATAACATACAATACTTGGATGAAGTAACCTTTGACTGTTATCACCATAGTATGAGTATCTACTGCAAGTCAATGTGACTTAGATGTTTTTGAAAATCTTACTGTAATCAAACAATATAAAGTTACTACAGCTCTAAAGTATATTTAGTTTAGTAGCAAACAGCTAGTGATATTCTACAATAACAAATTAGTGTTCAAAGGGTAACTGTCTCCAGTGGGGAAAACTGTCCTGTTTTGTGAAGTGCATGGGTACTAACAAAAATTATGAAAACGCATATCTTAGAGGAACTTGTATTAAAAAAACAAATTTATAAGTTGAAATTGAAAACAGTGTAAATGTATAGGTTGGTACTCTAAGATTGTAGGAGAAAACTGCATGACAGTGAAGTAATATAAAGACCTAAAACTACTGTAGTATGTGTGCACTCGGAGTAAAATGAAGTTTCACCCAGTAAACTGCAATGACTCTTAAAGTATTGGATCCATGTGATTTGCTATAGTGTGTAAAATTGGGCTATACCTGTATGCCTACCTTTTTGCAAAGAATTCTGAGAACCTCAGGGGAGGGGTGGGGGAACTCTAGTAAAAAACATTATTATTTGCATAACTGGTATTGCAACTGACCTGGGTTTAGTTTTGAGCTTGACACGTAGGTCATGATCCTACCACTGTGAAGCTTATTGCAGGATTGGGGCCTTATTTCATATGTACCAACATTCAGAGTAAAGGCTGTCCTGTGGGTGCATGCATAGCTAATTTAGGGCTTGTCTGCATGGCCCCAGAGTTCAGATTACAGAGGTGTGAGCTGCAGCTCACACTAGTGTGCTATGCTGTAACTCTCCCGGGTAGACCCTGTGGGCATGAACCTGAACTAGGTACCTTTTATGCTCTCTGTATGTGTGTGTGTGTGTGTGTGTGTATATATATATATATATATATATATATATATCTCTATT